TGTCTTGTTTGTCTCTATGTGGCCCTATGATGGGCTTGTGACCTGTCCAGGGTGTATCCCACCTCTTGCACAGAGATTGCTGTTTATAGGCACCAGCAACCCCACGACCCATAATGGAAGACGCGAGTAAAAGATAATGGATGGATAAAATAAATTGCCAGTGGTGTCCTGAAGTAGGTCAGCTACTGTTAGACTGACTGACTGTGGGCTGGAGAGGAAGTCAGAGGCATTGATTCTATGAATATATCAGATGGTCTGTACACAATCAGTGTTAGATTTGGACTTGTGCAATTATTTATAGATTAAAACCCTTGTGAATAAATTTACTAGCTAAATAAGAGAAATAATTAACTTTAAAAATATACTATGATGAAGTCCAAATGCCAATGGTCAATATATTCATTCAATTGTCTAACTCTGTTCTGCTATTTTTCTCATGAAATAAATTTGACAGCTTAAATTTATCAAAATGTAGTGGGACATAAGTGATAATGTACTGTGCATCACCACTGTCATATTTTTTATTTGTATTTCTTGTTAGTTTCTTTTACTGTGTTGTAGTCCAGGTTCTCAAATGGTAAACCTAATAATGAGGTTACCTTGGTAATTAAGGCACAATTTTGTGAGAAAAGGGACTAGATGAATAAGCAAGATAAGAAACTACCCCATGACATTCCTTTAATTTAGACCATACACAATATTCCACTGGACATATATCTTTTTTGTTTGAATGTAATTTAATTTAATTGGCTTTTTTGTGGTGCTATATAAAATTTTATCAAGGTCAAGTTGTCTTTTTTGTCATTCATTTATGGTTTTGTAATTGTTTTAAACATTTTCTTTTAGATATTTAATACATAGACAACAGCTGATTTTTCATTGTACTCATAAAGAATTAAAGCAACTATAAATCACCTGTAAAATTTGTATTTGGAATAAATTAGTAATTGGATATTCTAATGTTAATGACATACAGCAAATGCATATTGATCAATTCAAGGAGTTCAGTTAATTTACTTTTTGTAGCATAATTACTTAAATGCACATTGCTATACAGACCATGATAGGTGGAGATATGGAAATAGGAATATATTTTAATAAACTGTAAGCAAACAAGTCCAAAAAGTTAATGTAAATCACTAGAGTATTTAGTATACAATGCTTTTGACATGTTAAAGTAGTATTTGAAAATATAGTGCTGCTAATTTGCTGACACTAAGATTATAACTTTCAAAAGACAATATTTTTTATCAGTTTTTTAGAACAGTTTTCATTTTTGCTTAATCCATGTGCCCATTCATTTGTTTAAATTTTTTACATCAGGCAAAACATGGGCTACTATGTGGTCCTACTTATAGTTTAAGTTTCTATTTTATGATTCTTTATCATCAGGCATTACATAGGCCACCTATGAAGTTTAATGCAGTTCTACACACTCCCACTAGGGACAACATTGAGGTATACACAGATTTTGTGGGGAGGCGAGGGGCGAAACCATACACATACACAAAAAAACCTATTTTAGTGACTTTTTGGGACGTTTGAGATTTTTGGATTAAAATACATTTTGGAGCGTGCTGAATGCGATTATAAGGTTCTCTAATTGGGGACCGTGGTTTTGGTCCCCACTTGCCAAGGTGTCCCCAAATGACTGGTGTGTAAACGTGTTCACGACCCCAAATATAACATAAGCAAACGCACACACACACACACACACACACACACACACACACACACACACA